CGCTGCAAAAAATTTTCTATCCTGCCATGCTGCCTATACCACCTGTCTATATGCATCCTGAAGCTGGTTCCCCTTCTATATCGTATAAAACAAAAGCCGATTGTCTTCATTCTCATAGACTTTCACAGCCTGTGACTACTCTAATTGCCCCTTCTTTCATATTAACAGGTTGTCCTTTCTCTGATCATCCAACGGTAAAGGCCTCCATTACCGACCTGTTAGATTTTCAAATGAACACAGTGATTCTCATATACTGCCCACATGCAAAACTCTTTCCATCCTCTTTCTCATCTCTCATTAAAACTCACCTTTGCCATGATACCTACAAAAGCTTAACAATGGTTAGGCTGCTTTTGCTTTGGAACTACAAGCTGTAATGCAAACCAATATGATTTCAGTGTTACCTTTTGCTTCCCTACATGCCTCTAACCATGTATGATCTCTTGTTTTATACTTAAATTGTAAACTTTCTGGAGTTCTTCAGTTCTGTTTCTAAAACACCCTGCAGAAAATGGCTCTGGTCCATGCCAAAGGTTCTGAGTCAATACATAGATTAATTAGAAAGATTAATAATAATTACATGTGTGCCTCCAACTGGGTCTCCATGCACTACTGTAATACAAATAAAAGTAATTCAACTGAGCTACAAGCACTTAAATTGAGGTGTAAACATACTATGGTATGGCAAAAGCAATATTATGATTAGAAAAAATCTCTGGGCATGGTATACTTGTATAAAATATACTAATTTCCAGATTTCCGTAGGTCACTTATGTTAAAACTCCAAACTTTGATCCTTTTTTCTTTATAAAGGATAGTGCTACTTGATATTAATAGCAAGTTAAACATTAATACATTCCTTTTTAATAGGAATAATGGCTATTAGAATGGCTGGAAAAAAATTTCAATTTTATTAGGACTAAAAATAACCCATATTTTGCATTTCATTTTTATTAGGACTAAAAATAACCCATATTTTGAAACCATGCCATCATAATTTGAACATGAGCATAATACATCATGTTTAATTACACTGAATTTTCTCATTAGCCAGTCCAAATGTTTTTCTTCTATTGTGTTCAATCTGTCATTGGAAAACCTCAGATGCAAGCAGGCAGCTTTATTTCCTCTATCATAAATTTAGAAAGACAAAATGAAGAATCAGCACTCAGACTTGTGCCTGGGTAAATTTGCTTTGCCCATAAATACAGGACTAGCTACATTTCTCCATTTGGGTAATTGATTTAGACTAGCAGGATTAACCTTTTCTTTTGAAATGACAAAGACACAAACCCATGCAATCTGAAATCACAGTAGACTACTGAAGGGAGATAAGGGATCCAATATGAAGTAGCTAAATTTGATATACATTATTGAAGTCTTTGCTTGCAGTGAAAGCAGAAGGAAATAACAGGGAATCATACTAGTTATTTTTTTTAATTAAAAGATTATCTATAGGGATCTTTATTTCCCTATTCATTATAAAATGACTTTTTGGGTTTACTTCACTGTTTTGTACTATATGTAGTCATTCATACTAATGGAAATGGAGTACAAATTGTTGTAGTACCTTAGTATTGATATAATATTCAAACTTCTAATTTGGCAAAATTTTACACCAGTTTTTCACAGATGTAAACAGCTGTACAGGTGAAAAGCACTGTGGATGTAAAGATGTAACTACAGTTTGTTAAAAGGCATGGCAAGGAGGGCAGATGTGTAGTAATCATATTATAGAATCATAGAAAAGTAGGGCTGGAAGGGACCCCAGGAAGTCATGTCATCCAGTCCCCTGCTTAAGGCAGGAGCATGTCTATTTAAATGACCCCAGACAAGCATCTGTCTAACCTGCTTAGATTAATAATTTTCAAGGGTGGAGATTTCACAAGCTGTCTGGGTAGTCTGTCCCAATGGTTAAACACCCTTATAGTGAGACAGTTCTTCCTAATACCCAATGTAAATTTACCCTACTACAGTTTGAGACTAGTGCTCCTTGTCCTGTCCCCTGCAGTGACAGAGAATAGTTTATCTCCATCTTCTTTATAACCATCTTTCAGGTACTGGAAGATTATCAATGCACTTCTCTTCTCCCCAACAAGTCTTCTCTTGTCCACACTAAATAATCCTAGTTCTTGCAGTCTTTCCTCATAAGGCACATTCCCAAGCCACTAATTGTTTGTCACTCTTTACTGGACTCTTTTTAATTTGTACACCTTCTATAGGGCATAAATGAACCTTCACTTGGAGTGGTTTCAAAGGTGGGGCGGGGGGGCGGGGGAAGAAGGGAGAGCTACTAAGCAATATACAGCAGTTGTTATTCTCCAAGAGCTAGGTGCTCATGAATCTGCAGCTATTCAAGTGAGCTGTATTTCCCCAGCTTTGACCCAGCTTCATCCAGGTTTAAAGTTGGAGTGGTTTTTCTACATTTCTATGGCAACAGGTTAGTACTTAGCACTAGAGATTAGCACACTTAGCACTAGAGGGTAACAAGTGATATTTCGGCTGGGGCAGCAGCACCCTTCCCCTTTTGAAACAGCGTCAACTAAATTCTTTGTCCACAGCCATGTTTTTATTTCTGTGACAATGGGAAAATTTATTCTTGGATAATAGTTTTCTCTTTCAGAATCCATGATAAACATTCCCTGCTTCTCAATGCCATCAGTATTGGTTTGGAAGGAAATAATTTATTCTAGCCATTGTAAGGACAATGTTTCTTTTTCTTAAAATCTTTGAAGAAAAGGATCTGACATGTTTTATTCAAAAGAAGTTGCAAGGTAGATTTATTACTGTAAATTGAATGCTTTGCCATTTATGTTGGTTAATGCAGTTATAATGTTGAGGCTGGAGAGACTAGTATTCCTATAATTGCAAGAGTGTGATGTGAGAACCTGTAAATTATTGACTAACTGGAATTAACGGTTAAAACTTGAGACTTGAATAGTCAGTTTTCAAATGTGCTAGACAAATGATGTCAGAGAGGTTTTCTAAAAACATAATAATAAAATAAAATGTCATGAGGTGTGTTAATTTCTCTCTCTAAATGAGTCTTTTTTTTTTTTTTAGCATTAATGTGAGTAACTTTCATTAATGGTAACAACAGATATGTTTGTCCATTCTGGAAAGTACAGAATCCCATGAACTGGGAAATGCACAAAATCAAGTCCTCCATTCTAGTTCTCCTCCTACCTGGAAAACTCATAGTAACGAAAAAAAATCTCTTCTAAAATTGTTCCCAAGTTAGGCTTCCAAGTAGAAGGCAAGGAGTGTATGAGCAGGAAGAAATGAAAGCAAATTCTATGGAAGCTGCACCCTCTGCTGAGGAAGTGGCTGCATTCATTCAACTTTACCCCTTTCTTACAGGCCTCTCCATCTGCGCAGAGCACTCCTCTCAAAGAAATGGGAGATGGATACTGAACAGAGAGATTGATGCTCTGAAGAGCATTAAAAAGCCTGTGAACTCCTGAGTCAATGGAAAATACAGGTTGCCGTTGGCTATACATACATTTAAGATATTTTCAGCATGAGTACAGATTCATCCACTGCTGACAATGCTTGCCTGCAATGGATAATTCTGCCAGTGCAGATAACACTACAGAGGCTTTCTGCCAGGCAAGAGCTGAATTTCTAAATTTTAAAATATACAGGAAGTAAAATTTTGCAAGGGGGAAGGGGCAATATATTTTCCTTTACAGATTATGAAGACAAGG